AGTCTGAAATGGCAGAGGGTGAAGCACTGAAATAAACTGCCTGGGAGGATTGTGAAATCTCTGTTGTTAGAGGCTTTTTAGAACAGGTTGGACAAGCATGTCAGGAATGACAGGCAGAGTTCATCCTGCCTGCAGGCAGAAGATGGGCTAAAAATATCTGAGTCCCTTCAAGCTTTATTTTCAGTGATTTAGCAGAAAGCTGATTAATCTGCTCAGCACCACCATCAGCTTCTACACAAAGGCCATTTTCATCCATGAAACTTGTTCATACATAGGACACATTTAAAAAAATCCTAAGACTATCCATATTCCCTTCCTACAATAATCATCTGCTTCTTAAATTAAGAACCATGCACTTGGAAAGATGGCTGAGTTCCCACAGCAGTGATGTTCAATCCTTTAGCATTTATGACACTATTAAATGGTTGCTGTTTGAAGCTGTATGTACCATGGGTCCCTTAAGTTCAATAGGTTTTGGGTATTGGGCTTTGGTGTTTTAACATCCTGAAGAACTACAGTTCTCTACCCAAACATCCTGTGGTCTGGGCTGAACCTCCTCTTGGAGGTGAAGCTTGATCCCTGGCTGACTGTGCCACGGAAGCCACATACTGTGGCTGGTCACTGCCTGCACACCACACCTCTGCATTGCTCCTGGAAGCAAACACAACACACTGTTAGGGACAGCTGCTGGAGATAAAACCACTAATTCGGTAGGTCGTTCCTAACAGCTTTTCACCTACATGAAAATTTAAGGGAGATTTTCAAAGGCACCTAAAGGATTTGGGCACACAAATCCACCGCCAGCAGGGCTCATGCTGCTAAGCAACAAAGACATCTGAAGATATCCTTTGGAGAGCACGCTAGTCTCATTAGTCAATGATGTAACTTCTGTTACAAAACTGGTGCTGGCTTCACTGCTAGCCTTTTGCAAGAGGATTTTGGTTTCCCAGCTTATCCTTAGTAACAAGCACCCTGGTTCTAGAAAGGAAAGCAGCACTGCTGGCATCAGGCTCATGACCGGCAGGAGGATCCCAGCTCAGTAACAAAATGTCAGCCTGCTACAAAATACTGCCCCAATAGGGATTCAAAACCCTTTTTCAAAGAAACTGCTGCTTCTCCTAGAAGTTGGACCTGCACGACCAAGCTACCTGCCACATGAGCTCAGCACCCATAGCACAGCTGCTCTGAAGGTGCCTCACCTCCAACTGCTTTGTGCTGAAGTTTCACCTCCAAAAGCACCTCCAAAACGCAACACTGAGCAGCCTGGTGTTCAACCCCAGGCACAGAGTTACCACTGTGCTACTGCTTGTGCCACAGCAGTGAGCCCCAGCCCCCTAGCACTGCTGTAACACATTAAAAGCATCTGAACACTTCCAGGTAACCACCAATGAACATCACAGGTGCCCTGTGGACATCCCCTTTCCAGTGTCAGTGCTTAGTGAATGTAGCCAGATAAATGATGACAATGGAAAGCAAAACACTTTAAAGTACTGGAGGAATGACAGTGAGCAGCCTCCAGCTGCCCATGCAGGCTGCTCAGCCCTGGAGGGAAGGCACAAAGGTGACAGTGCCCGCATCCCGGAGCTCATGTCTGCCTTCCCAGACTGGTCATTCTTTTGTTAACTATTTTTAGCTTTAATCTTATGACACCTATTGATGGGAAAGCAATTAGTGAGCAGAGACTAACATCCTGCATTCCTCTAAAAATAGCAAAGCATGGAGAAAAGATTTAGTCAAGCACATGATGTGAACATGACAGCCTTAACCTCCAGGGAAATCATATGGCTAAACAGACCAGACCTAAATAAAGGATTGCATCGCTGACTCAAAGAGGTTTCCAAACAAGTGGCAGGGTCCTAAGCCTGGGGGACATTTAAGCAAGAAGCTTAATAGAAAAGCCTCAAAACATAACTTTAGTATCTTCTCTTTAACTTGCTCATTCCAGCCCTGACACACACACATTTCACTGAACTTACTATGGCACCTGCATAATTTACACAATTCACAGATCAGCTCAGTCACCAGCTCTGAAAACCATGGCAGAAATGGTTTATGATCCACCCCTGCCATGGCCCTGAGCTCCAGGAACATGTTACTCCAGCCAAGGCCCAGAACTGCTATTTTGCAACCCCCCTGTCAGTCTGTTGCAGGGTTGGCACGTCAAACTAGGCAAAAACTACTTAATTACAACAAAACAGTGTTAAAACACATTAAAGGAACCATCCTGTCTGTCAGCTAACATGGATCTGGAATTTAGGCAACTTCTTACAATTTTGGAAAATGATGCTAACCAACTTAAAGAGTCTTTGAAGGATGCAGTTTTTACACTGTAACTCAATAGAGACAGCAAAGGTTGCAAAAACCAGGTTCAGACACTCAAGCCTCCTTTGAAAGGACTTAATTCCTTACCTAGGACTGGAAGAGAACAATACAATTTCTTACCATAATCACAAATAATTAAGAGGGATGTGGGGAAGCCAGAAAAGGAAAACAGACCTGCTTCTACAACTGTTTTTGTTAACAAAAAGAAAAAAAAATTATTTTCTTTGTGCATTCCTTGCTGCTGTTAAGTTAAAAACCAATACAACATGATGAAGTATACCCTATAATAAACCCTTAATTAATTAGTGCACATAGCTGAATTATTTTTAGATGCACACCATATTGTGTTAGAAAAAAAACAATCTAAAAGTAATGAGACTGGAAGCATCCAGTACTCAAAGTACCTATTGCATCCTAGACATCATCTGGAAAGATCTATCTTCAAAACTAAACCACAAGTTATCATTGCTTCATTTAGACTTGGCACACTTGCTGCACTTCTAAAACCTAAAGGCACAGAAAACACAGCACCAAGTGCTTTTAAAAACATTTGTTTCAGGAAGACAAAGCAATCACATCTCAGCTACTGCAGCAAACATTACTGGAAAAACACTATTGTGACTCCTGGGAGGAATCAGCCTGGAGAGCTGTAATTACAGGGAGGGAAAGAAAAGGGGGGGGGGAAAAAAAGGTTATTTGAGATATTTGTTTTCCAGACAGAAACAGATTTTTAATTCAGCTTCTCTATCTCTAATGCAATTATAGTCCTATAGGGATAGGACAAAAATTATGTATATGTTATATATTTGAAAAAAAAAAAAGCCCAAAACCACCAGTCTACATTGGTGTAACAAAATTAATCCAGAACAGCAAAAGGGAAAGTAGCAAGTTCCCAATATTGACCAAAATTTACAAAGAAACACACTTTTTTTTCCATACCACTAATTGAATATTTTTTACTGTAATCTTTCCTACTATTTTTACTTAATGAGCCAATTAAGCAAGCATGAGGGTCATTAGGTTCAGCTCTGGATCTCTCATGTCAAGAGTGACAACAGTGTCAGTCCCTTACTCTGCTGCATAAGGGCTAGAGGGGGGAAAATAAACCCAACCACCAAGAATACAACAGCTTCCAAATTGCACAAAATGTTTATTGTTAGTCTAGTACATTCAATATCATATTGACTAGAATACAGTAAGTCAAAATATTTTTGGCGAATTTAAATTTTTTAAAAACCATTTCAAACACTCCAAAAAGCAACACCATGAAAAATTAACTTAAAATTAAAACAAACATATTCAAGCAATAGTTTCACTTTTGATTACAGAAAAGCTTTACATGTATTTCAGTGGTTTTAACAGTACTGCATTTTAACAAAATATGAACTCACAAAAAGTGGAAAATATTAAAATAGACACAATGTTAAAAAACTGAGGCATCCAGATGTGTGAGACTGTTGTACTAGGAATTACCTGCCCAGATGTTCCTTATGTTCTCTTCTGGGGCAGCTAACTAGTCTGCTGTAGTGGTGTTTCTCCAATCACCTGCTAACACCACAAAGCAATTCCTTTTCAATGCCTTGAATTTAAAGTTTGTCCCTCTTGTAAATTCCATATACAAATGTATATATTCTAAAATATGCAACCCACTGGCAAATCTAGGTGCAATATTAAATGGTACCTCAAAAAACTTCCCCATTCTGCTACTTACTGATTGCAGACAGGCAATATCCAGAACAAAATCTGAAAAAGGCAACATGTTTTCGTTTTGTTTTTTTAAATACTGACATGAAAAAAAATGAGTAAATTAGAAAAAGTCAATCTTAATATAAGACATTCATTATACAGTGGAACAGGATACAATTATTGGACAAACAGTATTACAATGACTCTTCTACATCTGGTCAATTAATGCACGTGTTCTACAATCATGACTTGCTACCACACTTGGTTTTCCTGTACAGAACAACAGCAACACAATGAAAGATCAGTTTTACTCTGCCTGACCAGAATGACAAGTGACACCCTGTCTGGTTCTTCAAGCTCTCCTCCCTGAAAAGCTGTGCTTGTGAAGAACCAGTGACTATGAGCTCCACATGGGCAGCAATTGTTCTGTAGCTGGATTTCCCAACAGAACATGGTGGGAAATGATTCTGCTGGACAATTTAAAACCCTTTGAAAACCCACACCTTAATATTACAGCACCAATAGGCGTTTACACACTGAAATGACTGACTCTGGTTTGGATAAGGGGATATTCCACCTTCCTTAACACTGTCAACCCTTGGTAAGTCAACCTGCATCCAATCTGCTACCTGACTGGGCAGCATGGAGTAAGATTTGGAATCTTGAGGAGAAAAAAAAATCATCAACTATTCCTTTCAAAGCACTTCATTTCTCTGGTGAATAAAGCCAAATTAAGGTGCTGCTTAAGTGGTAGCAGAGTGATGAGCAGAATACCAACATATTAAAACTCAGCAGAATCACATTTACATTTTAGTTTGTAAAAGTGGTTATTACAATAACACCTGTAATACAAGCTTTGAAAGAGGTACAATGTTTGCTTGTCAGCACAGTATGTGGAATGTAACCATTTCTTGCAAGATTTTGCAACATAAGTAACTGCATAGATGACAGTTGTGTGTTTTCAGTTAATAAATGTACTCTTAAAGTTTACAAAAAACACAGAAAGTTTTATATAAAAGTCACATTATACCAAGATAATGGGTGGTAAAAGTAGATTATTTGTGGTTCATGTTTAATAAATTACTAGTGGAAAGGTGATAGAAACCAATTTCAAACCAAGAGTTACATTTTTGCTATTGCACTGACTTTACCACTGGATTCACTAATTTAGAAAAATTCACATAGTTAAAAATTGTAAAATGAAACTAGAATACAAAAATTATTTGTAAACATCAGGTAACCAGCTCTACTAACATGGAATGGACCCTTGGTACTGCAGTACAGTATCTTGGTTACTCACAGCACTTGCCATATGGTGGGCAGTTGCAGGACACACAGAATGTCAGTTCACAGTAACTGTGTTCAGAGAACTACCAAAGTCAGTGCAGTTTTTCTGTGCAATTCTCCAATTTCCCCAAATTCCTTAAGTCAAATAATACTGTTACAGAGGCCAAGTGCAGATATTTTTTTTCATATATAGATATATAGATATATCATAAGTGACGAATTATGTCTGCAGGACTTCTGTAAAGGTACTTCCAAATGGCATAGTAATGAACAGCAGCTGCTGTGGCCACAAAGACGTGCCAGATGGCATGGGCAAAGGGAATGACACCATCACTCTTGAAGAACACCACACCTAGGCAATATATCAAGCCTCCCCAGGCCACCTCCTGAAGTCCTTCGGTGTTGCTCTGTCAATTAACAAGGATACATCAGAGATGGAGAATAAAGGAGGGAAAGGGGCTCTCATGTACAGAACACAAAGTGCTTTCCCCAAGAAAAGAAACCAGGCTGTCAACTCAGAAGGTCTTGGATATGACAGATGGGCAAGTCAGAAGCCCAGAATATTTATATTGCACTTCGGGAAATATATAATATTTACATAATGTCTCTGTAGAAGTAATAGTGAGATGACTCAAGAATCAAGACAAGTTTGGTATTTTGCTTCATGCTCAGTAGCAGAGCAGACAAGCTGGGAAAAAAAGAAAATCACACCACTGTAAATGTGAGTTTAATGCAACTCCTATCAGCTGGACCAAGCACCCAGCAAAGTTTTGGGACACGTGGAACAGTTAAGGACTGTAGCCCACATCACCTTGTAGAGGTGTCAGATTGGTATTAGCTGTAGAGAGGCCAAGTTATTTAAAATGTGTAACTGTAAATAAATAATAGTCAAAGTTTTGAGGTGGACAAGATGGAGTAGGATGCTTTTTTATAAAACCCCACCACCTGCTGAGAGGTCAAGTATCCCAGATACAGTGTATCAAATCGATGCACTTCTCAACTTTTCAGGGTTCCCCTACTTCACTGACACAAGGGAGGCTCCAGTAAGAGAATTTCTAGCTTCGTTGCCCCTCAGTAATTTTGAAAGGGGCAAGGGGGTGAATTTAGTTCCCCCATCTTGGCCCAGAACACAGAATCAGTTGATTAGATTTTCCAGAGAGCTCTTATATACACCTAGAAAAAGGACAGCATGGTATCATAAGTCCATTCCACTTTCCTCCAGAAAAAGCTTCTTTCCCAATTTGTAAGTGGTGAGTGGGCATAAAATAAGTTAATAAATAGCTAAATCTAGAAACATTCCTTGACAGGCTACGGTACTTCCCACCTTTCTAATTTTTACTAAAATGCAAGTAATTGAATCGTTACATCCAACATCCTTTCAGAAGTGAGGGTCTTCAGAAGTGAAGTCTGGAATCTAAGCTCTTTTTATCTAGACCCTACAGCCCAGATTCAACAAAACAAGGTAGCATTTCATTGAATGTGAACTATGAACCCAAAACATAACTGACTATATGTTCTTATACATAGGAGATTTACAAGTATGGTGGACTAAAATTAACATATGTTCAGAAGAAAGAGAGCTGCACTGGAACTTGAGCTAGTTATAAAAGGAAAGTCTGTGTGTTTGTAATGTTAACAGTCACATTCCTTACCATGGATGTCACTACCAGAGCAGGAGAAAATCCCATTGCTAAATAGAAAAAGAGTTCAACGATCTTATACCTAAAAAGAAACGATTTGAGTAATGTAAGGAGGTGCACAAGAGTGTGAACATTATTTCTCTCAAGACTAAAGAAAGTATTTTTAATTTTATGTTAGCATTGGTTCATTAAACTATTTTTAAAACTTTCTATGCAGATAACCTATGTTTTATGACAAAAATAAAGATATTATTTATCTCCGCACGCTACAGTAGCAGACAATACTTTCCTCTCCAAGTAGTGTCAAGATGCATTTATTTGCATTAAGTACTAGTGAGAATAAAGCAGAGAGAAAACTTATATTTTCTTATTTGACAAGAACCTCAACAGCTCATCTCCAAAAGAAAAAAAGTTGGGTCTTGCTCCCTGAGGATATGTAATGAAAATAGGTTCAATAATTCAGATCTGAAATTCAAGGACTCCCAGCTCCAATAAAATCTAGAAGGTAGCAGGAGTCAATAGGCATCAGAATATCTAAACATGTAATGTTGCACTATCACCTACACACAATGCTACAGAAATGAGTGGCATCCAAACCCCATGTTTTTTTCAACTGTTTATTTAGTTTATCCACTTTCACCCCTGCTTTCTTGTAGCAAAAGTTATAATTTTAGAAGTGGATTCTTCCCTCCCACCAGTTTAAGAAAAGGCAATAATATAACCTAAAAACTTGTTATGGGAGAGTGAATACAACTATCTTTGACAAGATGCAAGTCCTCATCATCTGTTACCACTCTTTCAATTTCTTATTTCAGTCTGTAAAAGGCTGTATAGAAACACTCAGAAAGCCTCAACCTTTTAATTTCAGTTTAAAGTTAAATGCAAATAATAATTCTTACTTCTCATGGTAGAGAAATACATAAATGGTTCCTCCAGCAGCCATCAGCCAGATGAACCAGCGCATGTGAGATGCCAGAGGTCCAAGCTCACGTAGATTTAACCTGAGGGAGACAAAAGTGATGAACCACACTGACAAAAAAGTAGTAGGGCTTGATAAAATAAATATTCATAGCTAGAATTTAGGCATGATGGGGGAGAAGACACTTGGCCATTCTACACATAGAGAAGCAGAAGGTGCATTTGCGTTGATGTGAGCGACACAAATTGGGGCATGTGGAATACAAATTAATTACTTTCTGCTGTTTTCTAATATTACTTTGTGTTCAGAAAATCCCAGAAGATTACATTATGTTGCACTTCACAATGCAGAATGTGGTGAATTGTTTCTAAGGAGATACCTACAGATTTTGGTGGTGTTTACCAGATGTTGATAAACATTAGAAAAAGCTTTGACTCTGAAGCTAAGCTTTAGATTTCTTACCATGGTGCATATGATGCTGCAATAAAGACATAGATCATCATCCTGTCACACATGTGAAAGCAATGCTCCATTGTCCTAGGAAGAGAAAGAACAAGTTACCAAGATAGATTTTGGAAGGACTTTTGTATCATCTTAGTTTCCTGACACACTTCGGAATTACTTAGGGAAAAATACTATCAGCTTCATGAACCTCTTAAAACCATGTGGGAGACTGTCCAGCTGACTTCAGCTGCAGGAGGTTGATTGTTAGACACGTAGGAGTTGAGAACTCCTCCATTTCTCTCCCCATCTCCACCCCATCATGCCACCCCATGCTCACTGGCAAGGAGGCAGAAAGCTGTCACATCAACTCTGCCTCATCCAGAAACTGTAACTCTTTAGTGACTACTTGTTGCATATAATTTATGGTTAAGAATAATACAGGAGTAATAACGGGGAAAACAACTACAACAAATACTAAACAACAGAAAAAAAAAAAAGGGGGGGGGCACAAGGATTTAAAAAAATTAAAGAAAAGCTCATTTTAGTTCTGCTATATCTGCTTTGCTCCCAAGGAGGCCTTCTGCTTGTTAGCTGTGTATTGTATTATAAAATTGTCTTGGAAAGCTCCATGTTCCTCAGATTACATAGAAAGTCCCAGACAGCTGCCTCATTTCTGCAATGGGATTATTTCCCTATGCAAGTAGATTAGTTTTTTCTCATTCAACTTTCAGATTAAGAGGCACTAGGCAAATACACATTTTCCTTGCAACAAAGCAGCAGAGATTAAAGTCTGTTTGTCTTAGCTCACTGCTTCTTCTAACAGATCCAAGGGTGTTTTTTTTTCAAGATTCAGTACAAGGTACCACTCCAGCCTTCTGTAAAAAAATGGTCTTGACCAAGCAACACAATGGAAAAACATCACAGAACATGAAAAGAAAACATCTTGCAGTGATACCTTAAGTGACTCTTTTTCCAGGAAACGATATGAAACACTGTGGAGACAATGAAGAGTGCACAGAGCCCCATGCCATACATCCATGCTGTTATCTTTTCCCATCGATCATCAGAAAGCCGGTGGAGAAGGGCACTACCCACAATTGCAGGGACAATGAGGAACTAAGAAAACAAGAGGCCTTTGTTAAGTCTTCACTGGCAGCTACAACCCTCAGCTTAGCAACAGCAGGGCAGATAATACTGCACTGTGTCATGTACGACCACATGTATGACATTTTGATAGCATGCTCCTAACAGAAGCCAGCTTTTCATCCAGGTGCATGTTGACACACAAGCATCAAGACTTCAACAATGTCTCAGACATTTATGTTATGCCCCTTTGAGATACATTTCTCCCACATGGTATCAGGCTAGGTTACTAGCTCCTCTAGTCATGACACAAAACCAGACAAACAAAAGAGTTTGCTAAGCCTTCATATTGGTTTTATTTTGGCATTGTGCTTTGTATTTAAAAAAAGTTCTGGTCCTACTCTAGGCTTCTAAACCACCTCCTGTGCACAGAGGCAGGGCACAAGACAGACTAAAGTTAATTTCAATCCCAGATGAAAAAAAATAATAAAAAAAAGCATTCAGAAGACTCAAGTCCAGTAAAAAATAAGAGAATTCACCAAAGACTTTGCAGAACGTGAGTTTTAGAGATCAAAAGTAAATTATCTGCAATCTTATTTTATTAATAGATTTATTATGATACACAAAGGTTCTGTTCTTCCCACAGAGTGTGTTGAAGTCGGTTTTCCTTACTCCTTCCTAACTCCCCTCTCAAGCAGTTTTAATGTAGATCTTCCAAAACAACCACTGTTAGTTAGATCATCATGATGGAATTAGCATGCTCACATGAAGTACCTAAGAAATGGGCTGCAGGTCTCATATACATTTAAAACACCACTCCTTTCCAGAATAAATTACATCATCTACCCTTGTCTCATTCAGAAGAAAACAAACTAGAGGGGGCAGGGGGGAAGCAAAAAAACCCCAAAAGCATGTCCAACGAGTATTTAAAGAAAAGAACCTGCTGGTTCAGACATTTCTATGCCATCTCCTTCCATTCTGAGGGCATATATTTGTCAGTCTACTAAATTAAGATCTCCAGATCCTCTATGGTGTGTCTTAAGATGTTAATTTGTTCACCTGAATTGTAAATAAGCTTCATATGTTAAATGCTTTGTAGTTTAACCCTAGTCTCACATGCTAAACAATAAAGCTAAGAACAAGTAATGGTTAAACAAATCTGGCAGCTCTGCTTTGCATTACAGGTTTGATGGCTTTGAGAGCAAAGTTTTGGTCTAGCATGCACAGTCTCTGTCCTTTCCTGCTTATGGACTAGGAGAAATGGAGGCAATGATAGAAGATGCAGAGTAAACTGCAGGGGTCTGAAAAGCAGTTGGTTTATCCAGAGAGTTAAGCCACTCCTAAAAAAGTGGCTTTTACTTCTAGCTTTTTAAGTACATCAACCGCAGCTTGATTAAGATTCTATTTTCTTCCTTTTTGCAAAACTTAGTACATTTAGGCCAAAAGCTGTAGAGCCATGGACATGCAAAATGCAGCATTCCCATGTCCACAGCATTTGGACCAGAGGTGCAAAAACTTTCCAAGTTCTGGAATGAGGCTGTGGAAGCTGACCTCATGTACTTTAAGGCCAAAAATAGTCTGCCAGTCTGGCTTCTTATTTAGCACAAACCACAAATTTCCACATACATACCCTGGACAGCCCCCAAATTAAGGAAGGCTAAAGTGTTTCAGTCCTCAGGAGATCAGTCCCTCCTGCTTTTCACACATGGCATACAACCTAAAGTGGGGCTGAAGCCTCTGAGACCACAAAGAACTGATTAGATGTGGCAGTTGTGTTATTCTGCAGGAGGCAGGAAGATGCTAAGCTCCAGAAACAATGTTTTAGCTGGATTTCTTTAAGCTGTGCACTCATGCTGTATCCACATTCATCATTTCCCTTCTCAATTTCTGGTATAAACTTCTGTTTTGACTAAACTGGATGGAGAACTGAAAGGTTTCAGAGAGATTACACAATATCATGAACACAAGTACCAGGTAAAATAGCAAATCCCTACAAAATTCCTACTAGAAGTTTGGCTATGAGCGAGTTTCTGCCTGGAGCTCTGATTGAGACCATTTTACAGGACAGAAGACTTTTTTGGAAACTAGATTTAGGTATTACACACAACCTGCCCTTCTTACATAGACCTCCCAGCTTTTTACTAGTCTACTAAAATAAATACTTCTCAAGTTAAGATATGACATGTAATGCTTAAATGGATCAACACAAAGTTTGCTGCCCATTACTTTTCCCAGTAATTATTGTATATAAAGTTACAGGGCTAAAACAAATAAGCAATTATCTTACACCTCTTTCTTTGCACCTTCAAATGAAGAATACAGCTACAAGTGAGTACATGGATGAGCTGAATTAAGCTCTTTTCTGCCTTGTTTTGACTCTGAAGAATGATTCTGTTTCTCACAGGGAACAGCACTATACTGACATGAGAGGGATTTATTGTTTTTTCTAAGTATTCTATTTGGAAACATTTTCCCTCTATGGCTGATTTGCATCATGGGAACAGTTCAACTAAAGAAGAGATATTTTATTACCCTCTTTTTGACCAAAAATAGCTAGATTAAAGACAAAATCCAGCAATGACAGCCTGCTGTTCCAGCCAACTGGATAAAAGTTCTTAAAATACTAATGTTATACCGGATTAACATATGGTACAATGGACTTCATTATATCTAACATCCATCTTAAAGAAATACAATATGCTGGTCAACAATACAAAGCAGATTTTCCCAAATTAATTTGAAAAAAAATGGTGTCTAGCACAAAAACTGCATTTTAATCTTCAGAACAGAGAAGCAACCAATCAGTCTTTTAAAAGAAGGGGTATTTACCAAAAAAGTAGTCAAAGAATCAGAACTAACAGAATGAATGTGGTTGTGCTGTGTCATTTTACAGCAATGATGCAGCATTCCTTAGCTGCCAACACTCCTAGTAATAAAACCTGCTAAAAATCACAAAATTAATATAACCAAACTCACCGACTTAATTTACTGTGAACAAAACCAGAACTGTGATGCTCCAATGTACTAATTTTAGCACCTTCATTAATATTTGCTCAATCAGAAAGGGGGCTGCTAGAGAGATTTACAGAACAAGGGAGTTGGCAACAGTTTCATTAAGTTTTCTAGAGAAATGCTAAACAAAATGACAGGATAAAGTTACACACCCCTTATTTTTAGAATAGTCCTTTTTAAGGCAGTTGGAAGAAACTTTTAGAGCAGGGCAAAGCAAGCTGGGCCTAAATTGAGGTTTTAATACAACAGAGCATAGATTTTGTCTGATAAACTTCATGAACACTAGAAAGTTTCACAGTGAAAGAGCCATCTCCTCCCTTAGATTTCACTTGCCTTACAGCTTGAAGTCTTACGACTCCTGCTTTGCTCATACACTGCTTCCTTCCTGATCTTCTAAACACAGAACAGTTGTTTCTGTTTCTGTATTCAACTGCTTAGCTGCCCTTCCTGTCTCCTAGTGTCTAAAGATAAGTCACTGCTTCATTTAAAGCTTTATAAAAAAAAATAATAATAATCAAGATGACTTAAACAGTCTTACTTGTTAGAAATTTGAAGGTATCTTACCATGCTACACACAGTTAGCTTTTAAGTATTCTAACCAAAAGCTACGCATGAGTTTCCGTATCCCCATTTATCAATTGTTTTGTGGGTGGTGGGCTTTTCTTGTTGGCTTTTTTTGTCTGTTTTAATCAGCTGCCAACACTGACTACTGTCCATTTTTAAGACAAAAAAACAGACAGGATACCTGTTGAGGAGTACAGCCACGCCCATAAAATACAAGTTGACTACTTTCTGAATTATGAATTAAGATTTGAAAGCACGTGTGTAGGACCATTGCTAAACTCTGATTTGTAGAAACTGTATCAAATGTCTAATTGAAAAGTTGCACTGAAAACCAGCAAAGACTCAACCACTTGGCCTTCCAACACTTGGTAAAACAGAATGTAAGAGGAAGAAAAAGCATCCCCTCCAGTTTTTTTTCTGTAATCCACTGTGCTTTCCCAGAGTAGATTCTCATTTCAAGGCTTTACATTTTGACTAAAAGTTATTTATCACATAAATGTTAACATTGCAGACCCCCAACTTCTTAACAGCTCATGGTAAGTTTTAGCACCTAGTTTGTTCAGCAAGTACTTAGCTTCACCAGAAACTGCAGCACACCAGAAAACACCAATGTGACACCTTGGCTGTAACCTACTGCAGGAATATGACATGCCTGTTTTTCAACAAGATGAAGGCTAGAATCACTAAGGAGTACAGCAACTTCTGCCAGATATTTTGAAATCTAACTTTCTGGCCAGAGTAAACAGGATTTGTACAAGGATTAGGAGATAAACTACATGTTTGTGCTAACTAACAGAATGTTGCTTCACTCCCAAGACAAATGAGCATATATTTACATAATGCTGTACATGAGACTCTTAGGTTAAAAAGACATGAGCTTCAGTAAGCTTTTCCATACATAAACCAAGGTGATTCTGTTTTTACCAGCAACACAGAGCTGTATGCTGGTTATTTATATAAAACAGATGAAGGTTCTTTAAGAACAGAGCTCTTTCTAGAGCTGGAGTCCCATGCACTACCTTGAGCATTCATATTTGTAGCTCACTCAGACACACTGGAGATAAGAGACTGAGAACAAAGTCAAACATACTTCAGATGTTTGGAGTTAAACAAGGGATTGAGGAGAAGCACAAGCTGCCTTTAATAAAGGGCAAATGCTATCTTAAAAAACAAACAAACACATTTTTAAGTCCTTTTCAAAGTGCCAGACAGCAAATTAAACTTCCCAATTACTAAAAAAAATAAATAAACTAAAATACTTCTTTCCTTATTCTGTGTATATTGTATATTTAAATCTAGTCTGAAAATTAGGACAGACTGGCATTTTTAGTAGGGCTGCCTGCATTGTTAGTGTGTGCTTCATAAGAAAAGATTTATTGAAAAATCAATTAATAGATATTAAGTATCAGAGCTAAGCCATTCGAGCTCTCCTAGCTAATAGTGACATAGTCCTATGAAACCTTCCACTTCTAACATGCATACATCTCTCTCATACTTCCAGAATACAATTTGCACAACACTATTCAAACACAGTACTGGAAATCTGCCTTGCAAGACTAATTAGCACAGGCCTATATTCCCTTCACCATAGTGATCCTTTGACTGGCACAGAGGAAAAATATCTAAAGACATGTAATTTACTCTGTTGAAAATGGATCTTATGAAGCATCTGGAGCTCTTAGACATTTGAAATATGGATTATTGATCACCAGCCATCTAGTTAGTGTTCCATTTTCTGAACTGCTAGAGCTGAAGCGTATATAACGGAGCCAGAGGGGGTGTAAATATGAATACACTTGGGCTAAGGTAACCATTTACCCATCCAAACCCACAAGAATTAAAAAAAAAAAAAAATAAATAAAAAGAAGGAAAAGTACTTACTGCATGTGTGTAGCAGTTAGCAGCATGTTCATAGCATGTGGGCTTGTAGCGGCTGTTGGCTGGAGCTGGGTGGTTCATGAACCTGTTGAATAATTAAGAAATGTTTTGAGGAAAGTTAATAAACGAACTCTTTGGAGAGTCATGAAGGAACACCTCTAACCTAGTACCGTCACAAATTGTAAGTATGGACGTGTTAAAAGTAACTATTACTTAAACTGTAAGTTCTCCCAGGTAAGGTCTCCTAACAGAAACATAGGTTAAATAGATTTCTGTGATTAAGACCTATCTGTCTGTAACTAAGACCCAACCTACACAGGGATGAGAAGAGACCCTCATGGTTAATTCTAAGGAGGAAGAATTTCAAGAGGCTCACCACAGATGTTGCACCTTTGTCTCCAAGAACTTCCAACTACTGCCTAACAAACAATCACACCAAACACTCTATGCAAGTCAAACCAAGTATGATGAAACTTGAGAAAGTTTGGAAAAACTTGCCAATACAAATGTTGCATTTAACCATCCTACAAAACCAAACACTTGAGTTGTTTCTGTGAAACTACACAATTGAAATCTGTGTATAAACATCTGCAGAAGACAGCACACATTTATATGCAACCAGTCAGAACAGTTTTTAACTATTCCAGCTGCAGTACCGTGTATGTGATCCCAGTATCATCCAAGTGAATCTCTCTCACTAATAACTTCCTCTTTACTCCAGACTATGATAAAACTATGCAATGACAGTCAGGTATCCAATAAGCCAGAAACAGGTTCACAAGAAGTACAGAATGTGCCCGTATGTGCAGAACTGAGAGCAGCTTTTTTAGATTTATATAAAGAGCTTGTTCGAAAAACGTCAGTCATCCCTTAAGTCCCTCCCAGTTTAAGTCCAAGCCAGTGCTGTTTTTATGACACCCATAAAATACTGGCTGATCTCAAACAAGGGAAAAACAACCAACCAACCAAAAACCTCAAAGCAGAATCTTATTGTTTGAATAAGCAGTTCCAGATTTGTGGGATATAAAACACATTTTTTACAATTCACTTAAAAAAAAAATTCAGTCAAGAATTTTTTTTTCTAAACTGATAGATGAAAATATAACAACTTTGATAAATAAGCACAGTGTCATGATCTCTCTCCAAATTGCGGCAACTCCAAAAAAACAGTTTCAACTATTACTCATCTAAAGACTAAGAAAAACATAAATTTCATTCACAGATGCTGAGTATAAGCACTTTTTAGCAAGTGAATAAACTCACAGGAGAGAATATATTGTTAAAAAAGGGTTCTTGTTTTGTCAGTGGTGATTGACACCTTGCTCTCATCTCCAGGGAGGTTATGACATGTTAGTCATGTTCACAGAACATCTGGAAAATTATTTTGTTGCCAAGTGAGTACAGGTCTTCAACAGTAGCTGCAAAACCCTCAGCATCCTCTACAGATGGAACATCCATCTTTCTCAGTTCTGCTTTCAACTTAGGAAAACATTTGAAAATAAAAGCATCTGTTGGCTCAGTCAAGTGACCAGTATTAGACTGTCCTCACCCAACTCCATAAATCCAAAGTCACTGATTACATCTAGAATTTTATTGCATTTCTCCAAAGGTCACAGTGGTGTCTTGGAAGTCTCACCAGAAGTAGGAACTAAGTAAAAATCTCAACAAAACTAAAGAACCCAAAGGAATAAGCTTTTCCTCAGTATCAGTAGTAAAATTTCTGTTGTTCCAAATTTCTGATGATATGTTCATCATCTAAAAATCTATAAATAATTCAAAGTAGCCTGCAAATGGGATCTCCTGTTATCCATTAGATACTTAATTATTTTTTTCTTTTCATTTATTTAGTAGAAAGGATACATGATCTTTCTAAAGCAGTCACAACAAAGCCTTGGGTAATGTTAGATTTTAGACAGAATTGTGAACAAACAATTCAGAAAAGTCCATTTATTACCAGGACCTCTTATTCTCACTAATTTAAAGGCAGTGTTATTATCAGGAAAATGGGACATAAAGGCAATGACAAAGCTGTCCTTTCTCTGTTATCCACACAAAGGGTTGGGGTTTTTTCCCTCCTTGTTTGTGTCAGCACAGGAATGATGTAAATATTTGTTCATCTGTGTGGGAACTTTAGGCTGGCAAAACAGACAAGCATCAGGTTTCAGAAAACTTCACACATAAAAAAACATTTCAAACATGTTGTTTGTTTGTTTTTTAAATTAATACTTCAATTACAATTATTTAATTTAGAACAACAAAAACTGTTAGTAACACAGCTGTTGAACAGAAAGCTTTACTGGGCTCCCATAACAGCTGAAACTTGCTTTTCTTCCACCAGAGAGAGTTTTAGCAGAACATCACCACTGGCAATCCTCTTACCTTCACCTCATGTTTAAACTAACCCCACCACCACTGGTGCATTTTGGCAGGAGAGTAGGAGTTGGGCTTCTACCTTTTAAAAAAGGCTCTCAACACCCCCAGTCCCCAGCTGTGCTGTGCCTTTGACACGTCTGCATCCTCCTTTCTGCAAGGCATCAGCTGCAACAGGCTGCAAGACCAGAAAGCAAACACTGCAGCACATTTGCTCAGGTCACCAAAGCTTCAGTTGCTTCCCTGTTAGTTTTTATAATGCTATTGATAAATGTTATCAGGAACAGCATTAGAGGAAGGATCGTTTAAAAAATGGTTGAACAGGGCAATAATTCCAGCCAATGCAGCTCCTGAGTTTGTTTCATTTCCAGTTTGACAGCCCTCATTTAACGCCTTAAGAAACAGACCTGAGATGTGAAAATAGCTGCTTTTTTCTTCCACTGAATACTCACCAAAACCAGGAAAAATCATTTTGACACACACTGTTAAAAATGTCAGTCAAGTACTCCTGTAGTTATGTATACATATGACGCTGCAATGTAAAAGATTTTGATTGCTGACTTCCTCAGATAAGAGGCAAAAATTGTCCTGTTCTTTCTTAAAGATAAATAAATAAATAAAACCTCCACCATCCCCAACAACAGATGCTTTTTGTTTTCTGCCACATGAACACCGCAACACAGGGACATTGTTTTCCCTCTTATCTACAGGTCAATTTTGCTTCCTCTGAAAAAGGCAATAGTGAGGAACATAATCTCACCTTCCTAAAAGTGGAAGTTTGATATAAAGCATTCGGGTGCTGTTTAGTCCTTAATGAGGGCTCTCTATAAAACAACCATTAATGTTATTATCAAAGGCAGGACAGTCTGATAAGGTTCCACTAAACTGGACTGCAATTTACAGGAAAGATCCTTAAGTGAAGCCTTTTTATTCTCCAACAAATCTCTAATATTCTTTGATAGGAACTCTAGTGAAACTGGAGTCATTCAATGAGGGAAGGGGACCATTATCTCACAAGAACACATAAATACTTCTCCATTTAAGATACTGACAATCCTCCAGTATAAATTTTTTGAATGATCAGACTAATAACTACTCGCAGCCAGCCACAAAAGCAGAACACTTTTGGTGCACTGAACTGGGTTACGAGTCCATTTTCAGGATTTAAATTCATCAATAACTACTTGAGGCCAAGGAAGTCCAAGCTTCATAATTTCACAGCATGCAAACGACTTTCTTTGTTTACCGTATTCCCAATATAAGTGGAAAAGGGGTACTGAGAAAGACATATAGCGATTTAAAACAAGAGAGAAGAAATTCATACCCCTCCATTTACACTGCTTGAAATTGGAATATTTAAAATGTTAAACATATGGACTGATCATTCTCTCTAAGAGGCCTTGGTCTCAAGTTCCTGTTTGTGTCGAAGCAATAAATGCTGTATGTTTCACAGTGATCCCAGAATTAAGGTACCATATTATCTGGGAGGAAGAAAATGTGAGGGTTCTTAATGCTTTGTCTTTGCATGCAAACCCAGCTTAGAAAAATAAATTGCAAAATCCCCAATCTACTGCACATATTTGTATGGCATCTGTCTGGTACCACAGCAAGCTAATATCCAGAACTGCAGAAGAGAAAAGCACCTTTCAAATCCTGCCTTATTCTCAGTTCCCATCTGCTGAATGAATTATTCTTTGAAGCATGAAGTAAAATGTCATTAAAAACAGCAAACATTGATAATAGCCTCAAAGATCTGGATTTTTAGACTTTTCAGGAAGTACATTTCCTTTATTCAACTCAAAAGGCCTCATACTTCCTTTTATCAGCTTAAAAGCACATTACCCCTTTTTTGTGTATTTTTTCCTGTGCTCTCCAGCAGCAGGAGAGGCCATTTAGACCTAATAAGCCATAAATAACAGCATATGAGAATCTGCATATGGCATAACTCTACAGAAACAGCAGCACTGTACTTTAAATGGGGTTACATATTTAGATAGAAGCATTTTTTACGTTGTCTAGGCTCTTTTGTTTTTGAGAGGAAAAACACACCAAAAAAAGTCAGGAGCAGGTTAAAACAGATCAGCACTGCATTTTCATGATGACCATTTAGGCATGATTTTAAAGAGAAATAAATAAGTTTATAAAAACCTTGATTTCTTTGACCACATTGGCAGTATTTTCTCTTTATTAATTCAGTCCATTCAATTCAAAACAGAGCCATATTCCTCCGGATTAGGCACCTTCCTTCCTGGATTAGAAAATAGCTAGTTGTGGTTTGTAACTGTTCACACAATCTTTACTATCACTGAACAACTGAGTCACAGAATTCATTCATATCAGTACAGAAGCAGACCACTTACTTGGCAGTATCAGTGAACTCGCATGCTGTGTTAAGGTTCACGTACTTTCGGTACAACATTAAAGATAAAATTAAATCTGCAATAATTGAAGAACTCGTCAAAACCTGTGGTATCATACAGAGATTAGGCCATGAAAAAAGTGCCTGTGCATCCCACTGACCTCCCAAAAGATTCCTTAACATTCTGTCAAGTATAAAAGGCAAGTCAAGAGTGGGGAGGAAGCAGCCACAGCAGGTGCTGCAGCACATCAGCCAGCCTGACAGCCTGTTGTGGGCTAGCACAGGGACCAGATCTGACCACATTCATCTTTTTCTCTCTTTCAATCTTATCTCCCTTTTATAATTTAGGCTTTGGT